AGACACGACTTAACGACTGAACAACAACAAGACCTGGGTTGCAAACATCCGAATGGCCACTTGATTCTCTAATCAAGGCATACAGAAAAAAGAAAACTCTAAGTCTTTAGTGCCATCTATGGTCTTGATTCCTGCAACCCAATTCTGGTAGCCTTCACCTTGCCAACTTTAAGATGTGTGGACTTTAATTCCCAGAATTCCCCAGTTCCAGCCGGCAGAAGCGAGAGCACTCGGAGCAGCTTGTGAGACTGATTGTCTTTCACACAGCGATTCTCTAAGTTTATCCTTGTTTTTTATGGACGCCCAGTGATGGCTGCAGTAAAACTGCACATTTCCCCATTCATTTCTGTGAGTGACATTTTGCTCCAGCTCAGAAAGGAAAAAACAACCTCGGAATTCCTTGGGTTTAAAGGCTTATGTGGCGGATTTATTAATAAGCTAGTATAGCTCTATGAAACCCTCCCTGCTGTACGCACGCGCAGTTCTTTTTCTTGCTGAACGCGTGCGCGCCGGGGGCTCCTAGCGTCCGTGCCCAAACATCCCGAGTGCGATGCGGCAGCGCCGGCAGGGAAGTGGCGCGGCCTCCGGTCTTTATGGTGTAGCTGCTTCAGTCCTGGCAAGGCTGGAGCGTCGGGAAGGTTCCCTCAAGACTCTCGTCTATGGAAGTCACTTCCCGGCAAGTTGACGGTCTTTGCCCAACTTAGCGTAAAAAAAAGAAGAAGTGTGTGTGTGTGTGTGGGGGGGATTAATGGATCCTCCACGTGCGAGCATAGACTATCTTTTAAGGGCTAGCTATAGGCACTGCGGGACGACAGTTATCTTCGTGTCTGCTTGTGGATTTCTTTAGGAAACGGCTGTTGAAGGAGATCAATGAATATTTTTTGGTGTAATACAAAAAAATATTTTGTTACGCTCAAACGAGGTGTTTCTCGTGATGCCAGAGAGATGTTGGCTATGTTTGCATAATATGCTTATAGTAGGGGAACAATATCCTCAAGTCGAACTCGACATTTGATAATTTTATTCAGTTTCTTGGCACAGTACAGATGTGGTTTGCCACTGAACTCTTCCAGGATATTTTATGAACTTCTCTGTGTAGTCTACATACTTGGAATTCCTTGGTAGTCTCCCATCCCATTTGTAAACCAGTCCAGCCCTGCTTAATCTTAGTCCAGAGAAGATCAGGTGTTGCTGTGTTTTGACAAACAGCACATTTACTGTGGGTAACTCAACCATAGTTTATGGAATTAACCCAATTTCCTAAGTTTGCACAATACTCTGAATCAAAAATTAACTACACATGGTACTCCAGGCTGAAGTGTGGTAGCTAGTGTGTGATTGCACAAATTAAGCCTTTCTTTTAGAAGAAAACTCTGATTTCATGTGATTTCATGTGCCATCAAGTTAGTATGACTGAACAGATCTCCAGCCTGGCCTTTCAGGTCTTCTACTGGTGCTCCCATCACTGCTGTAATTGAGTCCATCCGCCTTGTAGCTGGTTGGCCTCTTCTGTTCTTCTCAAAACAGCTGGGTCTTTGCATAATGTATCCAAAATTTATTTTTTATTTTTATTTTATTTATTTAATTTGTCCCCGCCCATCTCCCCACAATGGGGGACTCTGATGATGAATCAAATCAAATATGAAATCAAATATGATTTGAGCCTGGCCATTTGTACCTCAAGTGAGAACTCTGGGTTGATTTGTTCAATGGTCCATTTGTTTGTTTTCTTGGCTATCCATGGTATTCTCAGGGGTTTTCTCCAACATCAACATTCAAAAATGTCAATGCTCTTTCTATCCTGAAAGTCCAACTTTCACTTCCATAGAACGTTTCAGGGAATACCACTGCTTGCACTATTCTGCTCTTTCTAGGTATTGACGAATCACAAGCATCTGAATATCTCTTCTAAGGCCTTCATGGCTGCTATACCAAGTAGCTAGTGTGTGATATGTTTCTAGACCGCTTGTTCCTTTACTGTTGATGGTTGATCCTAAAAGGCTTCAGTATCTTCATTGTCAATTCTATGTCTGGTTGCTGTACCTGTTGACGTGAGTTTCGTCGTCTTTATATTTAATCTTAATCCAATTTTCTTTTACTGTGCTCCTTGGCTTTCATTATGAGAGCTTGCAGACCATTTGTGTTGTCAGCTATCAGAGTAGTGTCATCAGCATAGTACAGGTTATTGATATTTCATCGTCCCATTTTAAAACCACACTTTCCCCCCTCAGTATATGCTCAGCATATAGATTGAATGAGTAAGGAGAGAGTATGCAACCTTGTCTCACTCCTTTGCTGACCTGGAGCCAGTTTTTTCTGCCATGTTCCATCTGGACTATGGCTGTCTTGGGTTGCATGAAGACAAGATGATGTTCTGGGATTCCCATTTTCCTAAGGACATTCCACAGCTTTACATGGTCAACACAATTGAAGGATTTCTATATTTAATGAAGTGCATATTGACTTCTTTTCGGTATTCTTTGGCTTTCTCAATTATCCAGCATGTATGAGCAGTAATGTCTTGTGTTCTTTGGCCTTTTCTGAAACCACTTGGAACATCTGGCATCACCCTGTCTCTGTAGGGCTCTGATCTGATGATGCTGTTTTAAATTTATATGCCACCTGACTCCCAAGGACTCTGGGTGATTTTGGATGATCTTGAGATTTATTTTGCTTGTCTGTGAAATTAAAGATACTGTGTGATAGTTTGCACACATTGTTAAGTCTTTTTTTATATATATATTGGTATGTAAACTGGCCTCTTCCAATGTGTTGGCTGTTGTGTTGTCCTCCAGATTTGTTGGCATTGTTTGCTTATTGATTCTTCTGATTCCATCAATAACATTCCTTTTATCTTTTGCAGAATACCCGGCTGCTCTATGCACTTGTTTCAGAAACCCTTCGCTATTCTTCTGTACTGGATTCCATCTTAGATGCTGCTGGTTTGTTCCACGCTGAAAAGAAGCTGCAGCCTCATCTGGCCAAGGTGAACAGGTGTGATCGTTCCTTATGAGAAGGCTGTAGCCATTTTTCTTAAAATCCAGATTCCCTGGAGTTGCTTTGCATTTGGTAATTGCAGGCACCATTTGTGCATGGAAGTAGACGATCAGTGCCTTCTAAGGGACTTCAACCCACTGGGCTGCTCAGGTGGACAGATTTGAGGGAATTGGCAACAGCAGGCCCCTTTTCTGGTACCTGATAAAGCCTTTGGAAATGGAGAGTGGAACAATGGGAGAGAGGAGAAGTCCAGCAATAAGACTTGGGGGGAATGTAGAAAAAGTATGCAATGTCAGCCATTTGTTTTGAGTTGGATTTGTTTTGTTTTTTCTCTTCTGCTGTTCTCTCTGGCTCTTTCTCTCTCCACCCAGGCATTTCTCTGGGATTTGTGGGACACAGGAGATTCCTGTATTCCAAATTCATTACTGTACTCTGTTTCTTGTATGTGTTGTTCGTATTACTAGGAGATGGTTGCACTTGGCTAGAATAATTTAATCATTTTGGTATAATGATAAAGGTGTTGGATTAGGATTGAGGACACTCACGTTCAGGTCCTCCTTCAGCCACAGAAAGTCATTGGGGACTTTGGGCCCATCCTTCTTTCTCAGCCCAGCTTGTAATTTGAGAATAAAATGAAGGGAAATCTCCTCATAAGCTGTCCTGAGCTTGTGGAGAAAAGGTCCGGTTTAACTTTGGTAAGTAAATATATCCATGACCCCAACAATGCTAGGTGTGCCTTTCAGTACCTTCTGTGAAGGTGCCTTCTTTCATTCTGTCTCACTGAAGAAGAAAACATTTGGCATCACCCTGTGTCTTTAGGGCTCTGATCTAATGATGATTTAAATTTATATGCCACCTGACTCCCAAGGACTCTTACTTGATGCTGTCCAGGCGTGTCCTGTGCATCTTTGAATCTTCTTTAAAAAGCTTTCCCAGATACACCACAGCTCACATCTCCTCAGTCCAGTCCAGGTGGATGTAGAGCCAGATGTTCCATTCCTGGGCTCAGGTCCAAGCTATTTTCTCCTGCTCCTTTCCTTCCTCAGGTGCTGGTGTATGACTTACTCCTTGGCAAGGGGCTTCAGGGTGGAGGACGTGGGAAGGCCCTGATATTGAAGCACCGTGCGCGTCTCCAGGCTGAGCTTGCCCGCTTGAAGGTCCAGAAGAAAGTGAGCCGCAATGAAGACCTTCTGCCACCAGCTGGAGAAGCTGACCAAGGTAGGTGCTTGGATCTTTTGGAGGATGTCAGAGGGTCAAATTGAAATACGAAGGCAGTATCATGCAGGCTGCAACTGAAAAAATAGGAAATCAAAATTTTGCAGCTTTCAGAAAGCCTGTTCTTCAGCCTCTCTCAAGCATTTGGGGACCTCTTAGCAGCAAATGTGCAGACTTTAATACTGTGGGTCTGAAACCGAGGACAACTAGTCAGCCAGCCAAAGTGCAGCTAGATTTGCATATTGTGTTAAGCCATAATAGGATTTATTTGGTTTGGCTTAATGTGTTGTGCAAACTAGCCATTGTGGTTCATAAAATATGGTTAATGAGTTATTATGCTGTCTGAACCCAACAAACTGTAGCTTACTCAGGCCATGATTAAACAAACTATGATGTAGTGTAATGTGTGAACTAGGGCAGTGTCTGTGGCAGCTTTCTTTCAGTCTGGCTACAGTCTCTATCCTGGCTATGTGAGATGTTGCTCTTACCAGATCAAGATCAACAAAAGACAAAGCAGTTAGAAGTTATGGAAAACCCAGGAATTTTATTTCAGAAGATTCCTGTTTCTTTGTTTTCCAGCACTTCAGATGCCACGTTACGTCCGAGTGAACTCATTGAAGACATGCTTGGATGATGTCATTGACTACTTCAAACGCCAGGGTTACTCTTACCAGGGCAAAGCAGCCCGGTTAGTTTAGCCTTCTCCAACCCCTGCTCCCTATGTCAGGAACAGGCAGGCTCTCTGTCTGCAGCTTTAATGTTTTGAACCTTGGGGAATCTGCAGTTGTGCACTCTTCCTCCTCTCTTGTGCAGCCACAAGGAGGAGACTGAAAGCTTCTGTTTTCCTTCTAGCATATCTACAGTTTAGCCTAAAAAAACTAAGAGTCTAACCTGGTTACAATGGATGAGAGACCACTAGGAAATGTCAGGACTCTAGGCTAGAGGAAATTTGGGAAACATCCCAGTGGCAAATCACCATCATGCCATTGCCAAGGAGACAACATGGACATGCCCCTGTAGTAATTGAGGCAAACCTGGCTTGAGGGAGACTTACCTTTCTTTAAAACTAGCTTGTTATCACTAGCTATAGTTAAGCTCAGTTTACTCCAATGGGGGTAACAGAAGATGCTGCAGTTAATAGAGAGAGGGAGAGGGAGGGAGAGAGGGAGGGAGAAGGAGTTGGGGTCTGGGGGAAGTTAGTTTTCATCCTCATAACACAAAACTAGACCGTAACATTGTCTCTGGAGCAGCCAGGTGTCTCTCTGCCCTCCCACAAGCCCTTTCCTGGAGCGATTGTTGGTTGCTCTTTCATCTCTGATCCTGCTTTCCTGCTGCAGAGCAAGAGGCTCTTGACCAGCAAGGAAGCCTCTCTCCACGCTCACCTGGAAACCTCAAAGAAAGGCACTTTCTTCATTAGTGGACAGGCTGATTTGTGCCATGCTGTTTGCATTTGGAGAGCTCTGCTTCCTGGCTCTGCATATCTGGTAGGGGAGAGTTTCTTGGCTTGGGGAAGAAGCAACAGCTCTCCATCTTTATTACTATCATTTTCAGTATGGAGGAAGTGATCTTATCAGGGAAGAAATTCCTGCTGGACCTCCATCTTCCCAACCTGCTGATCTTCCCTCCGCAGACAGATCTTCACGAGAACCAGCTCTATCAGGCTGGGCACATCATTCTCCAGGACAAGGTGAGCATGGCTGGGGTGGGGCAGAGTGGCCTGAGGACATCTCCACCTGGGCCAGAGGGAAGGGCTGGTGCAATTGCTTAGCCGCCAGCGGATCTGCCGTGATGGAGTTGCCTGGCAGAGTCCAAGATGGCTTCCTGCTTCCTTCCAAGCACAGCTTCTGGGTGGCTTCAGCCCAGTGACATCTGCCTTCACATCTTCCTAGAGCCTTTTCTCTTACGCTGGTCAGGAGGGCTTGATGAGATGGATGGACTAAGCCAGGCATTACTTTTGATGGCTAAAGGCCACATGGAACATTTTTTCCTGCCTCAGTGAGTAGAACAGTCAGGAAGGATTTTCTGTGTTTCTTTCTCCTTAGGATTTGTTTCTTACTATGTTATTTTTTACTATTTTAAATTGCACACACACACACCCAATTTTAGGCTTTATGCTATAGTTTTGAAGTATTTCCCATTTTATCTTGTGATAACTTACCACTTTTCATCTTGTGATAAATTCTCCAAGTGAAATACATAAACGTCACCTTAGCTTTAGTAGGCTGTCTATTTGCCAAAACAACAAAAAAAGAGACAGAGAGACTAGTTTTTTGCCTGTGGGCATGCATGCAGTGGGCATTAAATCTATCTTGACAACACGTTTGAGAACCTGCTATTGAGGCAAGAGAATATGGAAAGAAGGTGTCTGGTCTGCGGATAAGTGTGTGTGTGCATATTTTGACCGTAGGCCAGCTGCCTCCCGGCCTTCCTCCTGAGCCCCACTCCGGGGTCCCATGTGATTGATGCCTGCGCTGCTCCTGGCAACAAAACCAGCCAGCTGGCTGCCATCATGAAGAACAAAGGGTAAGGGGAAGGGCAGTGCCATTTATTTATGAAAATGCTTTAGGCAACTTTCTCGGGTACAGAATTTTCTGTGGTAGTTCACAGTACAACAGTAATCTCTAGAAGGAGCAGATGATCCGGGTGATAATGCAGCCAAAGCAGCTTTTCCATTAGGCTGCTAAACAAACCTGGAATAGATTTTGGGAGCATCTGTTCTCTAGGTTAGAATGGTACCAGCAAGTCCCCCCCACTCATTTTTTCCCTCTCTCCTGGTAAATTTTGCAGATCTGATTGGTGAATTGAGGATTGCCCCATTCTTAGCCCCTCCCTCTGGTGCTGCTTAGCATTGTGTGTCTATCTCCCCATCTCCCTTGCACATTTTTTGCCCCAGGCAGTCTCCTTTGTTTCCTCCTCCTGGAAGAGGACTTCTGCAGTCTCAGCCTGCCTCCCCTTTGAGAATGGGTTCCTTCTGTAAACTAAACTTCCTGGTCAACAGTCACCTACAATTTCATCCCAGTTGGAGGTTGATTAAAAAAAAAAAAGAACAGGAACACTTCGATGCAAGAAAGCAGAAGGCAGTTTCAAAGCTCTTTCCTACATTTTTTAGCTGCTTGGTATCCGCTCTAGGCTCTGCAACCTTTCTCCTTCCATACTCTCTTTTGGAATAATGGAAATGTTTACATGGCAAGGTTTAATTTACTCCAAATGTATAAATTAGATTTTTAAATTTAAGATAAAGTAATCTCTACTGCTGGGAAAATATAGTTGCTTTGTATTCTCTAGATAATATTCAAGTATTTCCAGTGTGTTGAAGTTTAAAGCATTATCTAAAATATGCTGCTGATCCTTAATAATCATGATAGTGTGCCATGGTTTCTATAAAGCATTTCTTTCTGTTTACTCCCAAATTTGCAATTTCCATTTGCAATTTATTTTTTGTATTTAGGTGAGAAAATCTGAGATAGCTGTGTTTGGCTAAATATAAGTCGCTGCAACAGTTTGCAGCTCTTTGTTTAGTATAGGCTATGATCACAGCTTAATTCATGTAAAAAATCATATTTATGCAAAACAGCCCCCCCAAGAAATACTTACACAGAAAAAAATTATCTGCCTCTACTACCATTAAATTATTTGATGGAAATCTTATTTTGTAATATTCATACATTTGTGGCTTTAATTCTGCATCAGTTTATCCAAAAGTACAAATAAAGAGTGATCATCTGAGGAAATCTCCATTGGATTGTGCTGGAGGTTTCATAAATTCACCAAGTAACAAATAACATTTTGCTTGTTTATAAATGACACATTAAGAGCATTAAATCAAGTTCAGGTTTGCTAAGAAAGTTTCTGTTGTGTAAATTTAACATTTTTCCCCAATTTTTTCACCATAGCATCAACATTTCTAGAAAGTTTACATTTATAATCCAGAGGGGCTTGTGACTATAGTTGGATTCACATAAATCATTCTAAAATGTAATGTGAATTTTGTTTTTAATTGGCTTAGAGCATTGTATGGACCTAGTACTTGCGGATTGTGGTTTCTGGATTAATGCTGTGTGTGAACCCAGCCAGTTGGGTTTCGTCAGCAGTGAAAGAAACCAGAATATCTGTGAACCAAAGAACACTATTTGGAGGGTTCTGGAGGTTGTGAGTGGTTTAAAGCACTCATTTCTCCCCTTAAAGGCCTGCAAACCACAAAACAGTTGGGGTGACTTTTGCTAACTACCCCAAAGGCAAGCTGTGGAAAACTGGTTCTGGCCATTCCTGTGACATCATGGCATCATTCATCATGCTGTCTCTGGGATGACAAAATAATTAAAGTGCATGCCTGTAAGCCACAAGAACATGGCCTACCCTGGATATTTTCTGGCGCTTGAACTCTGTCTACATTTTTGTTGGCTTAGTGAAAAAAATCATTGTTAGCTGCTAAACTAAAGTTATATTTTGTAATGTAACCCCTTGATGTTAGCAATAGCACATCCTCCAGAGAGAGGGATGAACTTTGAAGTTATAACCTTCTAGTCTTTGTAGATCCCAGGATGGGGCCAGGTCTCATTTGCTTCTTTCCAACTAGAAAGCAGAAATTCAAAGAAGCCAGGTTAGAGAAAATAGGTCCTGTCTTCTCAAGTCTGTCCTTTGGAATGCCCTGCAGAGTGACTGAGCTTAGGACAACCTACCCTTGGGGTGGGGGGAGGGCTCCAGCTTGTGGTGAAGTTACTGTTTTTTACCCATCTCTCCTATGGATGTATCTGCTCTGATGCCCATGATGTTCATGGCCACTCAAAACTTCCTTCACTCTCTTGAAATGCAGGCAAATCTTTGCCTTTGATATCGATGTCAAGCGCCTGGCCACCATGAGCACTATGTTGGTACGGGCAGGGGTCACCTGCCATCATCTGGCACACCAAGACTTCTTAGCAACAGATCCCACTGACTCCAAGTACAGCCAAGTGAGATACATTCTTCTGGATCCTTCATGCAGCGGCTCAGGTGAATAATGGATGGAGGTGGATTTTCAGCTCAGGCCTGTGTTAGCCACAAGCATATTAGAAAAATGGATGAGAGACCAACAAGGCTATATTTTCTCTACAGCCTGGAACTGGAACAGTCAAGAGTATTCTAAAAGCCCAAGGCCATGTGTTATACCTTTCTATCCAAGATGGCGAGGTGGTGGCTAATTAGGGCAATTGGAAATGGTTTTTTGGGGAGGGCCATTTATGATTTGAGTCTCAGATGTAATGGTGATTTTTCCATGTTAAGTGTAATGGGATGGAGTTGATCTGGGTTTGTATGCATAGATTTACAAATAAATTTCATATATATAACTTTATGGTTCCAGAGCCAGGTTTCAACCCTTTCCAGGTTCATAAAGTTGGGTACCTTTAGGTAGCTATCAAGACTGAGAGCCCAATAAGTACCAGTGAGCTGCTCCCCTGGAGGCCACGTTTCAACAGCTATTGATGTGTGTGATGTTTCTGTTGCAGGTATGGTCAACCGCCTGGCAGAGGAGGAAAGCACCTCCCTGCCAATGCGACTGCAGGCACTAGCTGGGTTCCAGCGAAAAATGCTGGCACACGCACTGCAGTTCCCTGCCCTTCACCGCCTGGTTTATTCCACATGCTCAGTGCACAAAGAAGAGAATGAAGATGTGGTGCAGGATGTGCTGGAGCAGGAGGGGAAAGCCTTCAGGTACAAGAAGGTGGTTAAACCAGGGTCAGGCTTCCTGAAGCTGGTAGAGCTTGGGCTGCAAAGTGTGGTGGGTCTTCTTTGCTACTATTTAAGGATTGCTGGTGGAGAGGGCTTTTGTAAAGCAAGAAGTCTCTTGGAAGTCAGTATAGCTCATCTCCTTCCTAGTTGATGCCCTCCTGGTGTGTTGATCTATACCTCTCCCATGTTCCCAAACCTCATGGTCCGTGCATTCTTCTTGACACCAATTCATTGACCAATACATTTGAAAGCAGCAGTCTTCTCTTTTAGGGGTGGGGTAGCTGGGAACAGAAAATGACATTTTTCAGATTCATAGCCATTAGGAATTAAAGTTTCCTAGTTAAACTCAATTCTTGGTGACTTCAGGGACACTTCCATGTAGGTTCCTTGGCAGTAGCATAGCAGTGGTTTGCTGTTGCCATTTTCTAGGATGTTTGTTTGATTTCCCAGTCTAGATGACTGCCTGGTGACCTCCCGTTCAAGAATAACAAGGTCTGACCCTGCTTAGCTTTTGGAGATCAGCCAGAGTATAAGATGCTGATGTGTAGCTGCTTAGGGTCCCGGGGCTCAAAGGTAAAGTCTGAGTACCACTGCAAGGTACTAGGCAGCAGTGCAGAAGGAACAGGGAAGCCCTGATTTCTTAAAGTACTTCTCTGCTTGTCTTCCTTGGAGATTGGTAGAAGTCCTGCCATCCTGGACTCCTCGTGGCTTACCTGTTTTTCCTGAAGCTAAGTCCTGTCTTCGGGCATCGCCAGAAGAAACACTGACCAATGGATTCTTTGTAGCAGTACTGGAAAGGAAGCACACAGAAGCGTGTGCTGCAAGGTGAAAGAATGCTCTATGTGTTACTCCTACTATGCTATAAAGAAGGCATGATTCCTGCCTTTGAAAAAGTCTTAAAGGATTCTGGAGGCCAAACCTATGAAGTTGTGAGTCTCCTCCTCCCAACCCTGGCAGCAGGACCTTATCTTTCACAGTTAATTGGAATGTATACTGCCCCCAATTGCAGCTTCCTTGTAGTTTTATTCAGGCCTCTACAGCAGCAAATATCTTGCTCCTATGAAAGGAGGTAAAGATCCCTATATAACATAGCAAGAACCAGATACTCTTAGTAAAGCAATGTCTATCTTGTGGGGGTCTCTAGTAAGCATCAAGAAGCATCTTTTATGCTTCAGCCACAAAGTTTCAAATATAAGATACCTTTACAAAGTACAACTTCTTCATACTTTAAAATAAGACTGCCCATAGCTTGCTCACACACTGTTGTACGCTCATCTGTTTTCTCTTGGTGCAACAGAAAAATGAATTATCTCTTAAGAGAAGATACCTAGTAAGTCTTGAGATCAGCTTCGATTTATCGCTTACAAACCTGCATTATGGGGACCACTAAGCGATGTGCCATGAAGTCTTAGATCAAGAAATGCTCAAAATTATTTGAGGTGTAGTAATTCAAAATCAACACAGTACTGTTGTTAGAGTTGCATTTGGATTTTCAACTCGTTAAAAACAAATGGCAAAAGGGACACTGAACAAGGATAAGGAAAAATGATGTTAGTAGTTAGCCAGTCTTGGACAGGAGCATGGGCCCAGCGCACATAGAAATTGAGGTTTTTCAGGTGCAGAGATGGCTTTATCAAAGCACATCTTGCTAGGAAGAAGAAACAGTAATTTGTTTTCCACCTAATATAAGACTGCCAAACATTACAGGCCGGAAACAGATTTTATTTCTAGAAACTGAGAGCCAACATCCATCTGGTTATCTTCCCAGCAAATCATGGGAGAGTCCTTGGTGCAGCCTAACATAATTCCTGCACTAGATAAGGTTCAATTTGCATGCCAGCAGACTATCCCCACATTAGATTGAATCCACTCTCTGCATAGCTTTTATCTCCAGCCAGAGATTTCCTATTATTTTGCTTGAGGAAGGTTTTGCACACTTCGAATTAGCCTTAACGTATGTCATGACTGCATTTTGATATATAGGAAGTTGCTTTCTGTTCTTTGTGGTTTTGCTCGTAGTTCTGCAGTGCTGCTTTCCGAGACTGGCAGTAAATTAGAAACAAATCCCAATCCTGCAACCAGGAAAAGAAAAAAGAAACAGACAGCTTTTCCAAATAAGTGAAATTCTTCAGAAGCACACTGGTCTTTATCAGTGGAATTTGCAAGAGAAAGGCCTTGGACGGGAAAGAAAGTCAACTTTTCTGCAGTTGATGTGACATACTGAAATGAGAACTTGCACATTGTATGTTTCATTCATCTGACAGCTGAGTGAACTGTAACTTAACCTCACCTAACTGCTTGCATTCCATTCTGTACAAGCAAGTATGGTGGAGGGTAGCAGTGACGTATATATGGAGGTCTTCAGAGAAATTGAGCTGGAAAGTTGACCCCTGTGCTGTGGAGGAGGACCCTCTTCAATGTTTGTAGGTAACACAGATATGAAAGGAAAGTGCAAACCACTGGAACAGAGACTAGCTTTTTTTATTGATCTGTAAAGCCACTCCAGGAGGCTATTTGGCCGAAGAACAGAGTTAAAAAAAAAAAAAACATTCTGGCTCAAGCAGTTTTATTTTAAATCAACATAAGCAAGGAAAAGAAATTGCACATTCACACTAAAACCCTTGACAGGAATGATCCAAGTCTTCATTGCAACATTTAAAAAAGTCAGCCCATTCTTTTTGTCTTTACATACTTCATTTCACTCACACACAGCAATATCTTGGTAACAAAAGGTGCTCTATTTTTATAGGGAGGTGAGGTCAGTTGCTTCCCAGTTGGAGAAATGACTGGTTCACTGCAGACACGGAGCACCAAGAAAAAACATCCCCATATTGCTAGCAGAGGGGTAGCCATCCACACCTTCCATGGCCTTACGTGGAGAGATGAGGTTAAACATTAGCTGATATTATTAAAAAAATATTAGTTAATTGGTTAATATTAACTAATATTATATTAAATATTGGATGGGATTCTTGAAGATGGCCCTTTTCCCCAGCAAAGCCAGTTTTCGCTCCAAGGAGATCACAGAAGCGGCCGTTCTTTTACTAGCCATACATCTGCTTTCCCTCCAAATGACAAGCACTGATCCAGACTCTCCTTCCCAGCACCGCTTAAACGTGCAAGAGCTCTCAAGCATTATGGAACAGACTGAGCCATACTCACATTATTAAACGAACACATGAAACACTGACCTGTGAAGCCCGAGGGGGGTGTGGCAAGAAAGCAGATGCTCCCCCCACTTCCCTATAAGCCCTGTTGTCTCATAACAGCACAGGCAAATTGCTAATGAACAACTTTGTACTTTCACACCTCTATGAACCAAGCTTGAAGGAATTTAAAGGCAATTTAGCTTAAATATAAAAATAAAGTTTCACTTTGTTAAAAAATGTTTAAATATTTTTTTAAATTTAGAATTAGGCAGGCTCACGCACACACTCACACCACTGGCAGCTGGCCTGACTCTTCCAAGAGCAAAGTTGGCTGAGGAACCATTTTTGTTGCCGAGCTGCTTGTCTACCGCAATGGCTGACTGCTGTGATTCAAGCTCTTTTGAGTTGGGAAAAAAAAAAAATCAGATTTCAGCCAGAGCCCCACAGGGCTTAAGATTTTACTCTTCCACCACAGAAATGTTGTTCCTCCCTACTCCGAGGCCCAGCACAGAATAAGAACTTTCCACAAGGTCCTGGAGCCACAAAGCATCAGGGAGGTGGCCTTTCCTGCCTTCCTCTGAAGGTCTTGGCTACAGACCCAAGTTGGCACTTCCAGCCTTCCAAGCAGAAGTCTTCACACTTCAGTTCATTCAGCACATGTAGCCATGCAGTGACTGTCCACACCCAATTAAGCAGGGTTCGTCTCCGTTGGAGACAGGCACCCTGAAAAATGTTTACAACAAGTCCGGCATTACCAACATGCCGCCACGCATACAATTCAATTCTTCCTCCAAACTCAATTCACAGAGCAATAAAAAAAAAGAACACAAACATACTGTGAGCAAAACACAGACATTTGAAAGGGGGGAGGGCAGGGGGAAAGGAAAGGCTGCATAACTGAAAAGCAGCAGTGGTGAGTGGCATTGTCTCCCTCGCCAGATGCTCACGGAGCAGCATACAAGTGAGGGAGATCCCTCTGGACCTCTGATTCTAAGACATTTCTCCAGGTTTCTTCTTTATTTATTTGTCACATTTATATAGCCACCCATCTCACACAAAGCGACTCTGGGTAGCGTTCAGGTTCAACCACTTCTCTGTTGTTAGGCTCTGTAGCCACAGCTAACAACGATTAGCGTTCCAACTCAGAGCCAAGATAAAATCACATGAAGCCAGAAGCCTTGGCAAGACGGTGGCTATCCCAATGGGACAGAGGGGTCTTACCTTGGACTAGGTTTTGATGGGAATTTGGATCAAGGATGCCCTGAAGATTCCCTGGAAAAGGCTTCCAATGAGGGAAGAAATTGAGGACGGGAACTAACGGTTGGTTTCAGTCAGAAACATTTAGATGGCTGCAAGCCAAACACTTTCCCCAACACCCTACTCCCTTCACTAGGCAGCCAAAAAGGAATGAAGTTAAGGTCAGAGAAAGAAGGGAAGATTAATGGGAGAGGTCCACATGGAGAAGGGAAAATAGAGGATATGTACAAATTTTTCATCCAGACTCAGCCATAGACTGTTCAAGTAAAAAGGGCTTGGTTTCTCCTATCCCATTCGAAGGGGTAAAAATCACTCTGATCCAGAATAGCTTCCTGTGGTTGTTACAGAGAAGAGACTCCCAGGACAGTCCCGCCGAGGATGTACACCAGAATAAGTCTTCCTTGCGTTGTATGACTAGGAGGGTCTGTCAGCAGATCAACTGGGAGTTGAAGTCCAGGCAGGAAGCTGCTCCTGGTTACTTTTTACGAGTGTGCTGCCTCCGGGCCTGCAGCCGTTGGCGGGCTCCTGTCTTGGATCCGGCTCCAATGGAGAAGGTGGGTGTTGCTGGCCCTGGAGGGGGACAGAGAAGCAAAAGGTCTTTCTTTGGTCTTTCCCACAGAGACTGTTAGGGCACAGCAAGTAAGTCAAATGGCTTGGGGGGGGCGTGTAACCTGCTACTCATAGGTGATTTTCAGTCCCTGGACCCTTCTGAAGAATGTGCCATCTAAGTTTGGCAACATCACTTTATTTGGTGACAATGTTTTTGGATTTAGAACTATAATAATGTCAAGCCTTCCTTATTTTAACACACCTATTTTATTTTAAATCTCCTCACCCCCAGACCCGCAAAACAAAACAACATTGTTCTCCAGTGATTTCACTATTTCACTGTGATCCCTGCAGCTCTAGATGTTGCAAAAAGACCGCCCATCTTGCAATACAAAGGCCTCCTGCCCATCAACTTTCAAACTCTTACCAAAAGCAGCAGGTGCCATTCCTCCAAAGGTGGGGGTGATGGGTGTTCCAAAGGAAAGGTTGCAGCTCCCTACTGTGCCACCACCTGGTGCAGGTGTACTTTGTCCAAATGTGGGGGTGGGAGTTCCTAAACCACAAAATAGTAGCAAGGTTAAGTTCCTACTAGAGGATGAATTCACATTAATGAGAAACAAGATGACAATCCCTGCTCTTTACTATTGTCAGGCACACAAGAATGACAGAAACCACTTTCTCTGGATGTTTTGTATTGGGGGAACACCAAAGGGGTCTATCAGCCCCTTATTCCCTTCTCCATTCTACTTTCCTCTAAAAATCAGCCAAGGAGCAGGCACTGTCAACCCAGAAATCCCTGCCTTTTATTCATTTTATTTCCTCACACGCAACTTGGTCCAATCTATGGCTACCTAAGTTGGGCTCAAGTCTCATTATCTCAATCACCTACACTTGAAGCGAACTGTCAATGTTTGTTGCAATGAGCACAGAGAAACAGATAGGGCTGGAGGAACTGAGACTTGGATTTAGGGGACAGAATGGAAACAGAACCTGGTCAGAGCTGAAAAAATCTTCATCTGTATGCATCTTCCTGAGCAGAGATATGAATTCACATACTCTCAATGGCTGCAAATATAAAGCTAGGACTTTTAGATCATGGCCTAGGAATCAAAACAGCCCATAAGAATAGGGAAACTAGAAAATAGCAATGTCAAGTGTACTATGCTTCTCTTATAACCCATTTTGAAGATAGCCAATCCCCCCAAAAGAATGAGTAGGGATGCTGTTTTGTCAGGTCCATCCTGCTCTCCTGCCAGAGACTGAACAAGCAGGAGGCCAAGCAAAGGCAACTCACCTCCGAATGCTGGCTTGCTCTCAGGTGTGCTTGGGATGCTGAAAGCAAAGGCAGAGTTTTGGTTCTGGGCACCCAGAGGGTTTTGTGCCAAGGAAGTTCCAAAGGGTGTCACTCCCTCTGCAGCTCCGCTCTGCCCACTGCCAAAACTGAATCCAACCGTAGGCACTCCTGTGCCGGTAGCATTGGCACCAACGCCAAAGGCGCTGCCTGCTACCCCTGGCTGATTCGACACCCCAAAGGTGAATGGAGCTGGGGCTGAACCTCCAAATACAGAGCTTCCTGTGCTGCTGCTCGTAGTCTGAGTGCTGGACGTGGTGGCTGTCCCAAAGGAAAAGATGGACGACGCAACTCCAAATGCTGGCTGGGAAGTACTTTTGGCTCCAAAGGATGTCAAAGGACTAGGCCCTCCAAAAGGGGTCTGCGTAGTGCTACCAAACGCTGTCTGGGCTGCAGGTTGGGCTACTGAGCCAGTGAAGCTGAAAGGAGTCCCAAAGTTCAGTGGTCCTGCTGCTGGTGGCTTGAGAGCTGCTGGCTGGCCCTCAGGGACACCTGCATCAAAAGCCAGCTGACTTGTGACTGCGGGATATGGAGGGGGTGGTTTTGAGGCAGCCCCAAAGGTGCCGCTGAATGCAGAGGTGCAGGACCCAAATGTCAGTGGAGGCTGTGTGGTGGCTGATGGTGCTGAAGAGGCCTGCGTGGAACTGTTGCTGCTGCCACTAAAAATGCTGAAGCAAGTACTGGTGGTGGTGGCGGCGGCAGCGGCGGCGGCAGCAGCAGCAATGCTGGGAACAGGCTCAGTGGTGCTGGAAGGTGCCAAGAGATTGACAGTGGGGCCTGTGGGTGCAGCTTGCTTGCCAAATTGGAAAAGAGGCATGGCAGCTGTGCTGGCATTGGGCACAGCCCCAAAGAGCAAGGGCTGGGATGCCAATGTGGAGGCAACCGTGGCAGTAGTGGCACTGCTGCTGCTGCTGGGGGTAGCGGCAGAGGATGGAATGCCAGGCCCAAAACTGAACACTGGTTTGCTCATGGAGACAAACGTCACACTTGCTGTTCCAGGGGGTGACACTGAGGTGGTCATAGTGGCTTCCGAGAGAACAGGGAACCCTAAACTGCTGGAGGCATTAACGGCAGGAAGCCCAGATGATGCTGCCGGCTGAGGAGACTGACTGAATGTGAAGGGAGAAGATGATGCAGTTGTAGGCAGAACAGTCGTTGCCGGTGTGGACAGCGATCCAAAGATGGGTTTGAATGTGCTGCTGGGAGGGACAGGAGGTGCCAAAGAAGGCGTAGTCTCAGATGGCACAGTGGCAGGAACCACTGAGGTGCTGCTTGTGGAGAAGCCAAAGTTGTCACTTTTTGCTGGGCTGCCAAACACTGGTTTGAAAATAGGCACTGTACTGGGTGCAGAAGAAGATGGTGTCGTTGCAGCTGGGGGTTTGTCGGCTGGAGGACTGGTGAGGATCCCAAAGAGGATGCTCGGCTTTGGAGCAGACGAGGGCCTGGCTGGAGTGTGGCCCAGATCAGAAGAAGCTGTCACCACACTGTCTGTGCTGCTAGTGGGCAGGGCAGTGCCTGAAGAAGGAGCAGCAGCAGACAGGGAAACAGGTACGTTGAGCGTCAGAGGCTTCGCTACCTCAGGAGATGTCACCGGCACAGAGGAGCTCGAATCCAATGAGGCAGAGAAGGCTGGTATCTGAGGAGTCTCTGCAGCCCCTGGAACTGTATTGGCTGGGGTAGAGGGAAGGAAAAATTTGAGAAAACACTACATTACTGTACTCAGGAGGAGACACTGTTCCACAGTAAATAGTTACTCATTTACAGTGGTACCTCGGGTTATGAACGCCTCTGCTTACGAACTTTTCGGGTTACGACCACCTCTGGCCACAAAAATTTACCTCGGTTTGCAAACTCCGCCTCAGGGTATGAACCGGATCCGCGGCCATTTTCCACCGTGCCACGTGGTCCGCGGCCATTTTCTGCCCGTGCCACGTGGTCCGCGGCCATTTTCCG